AAATAGTTTCAGACAACTAACAAAATAAGTTAATACAAATCTAAATTAGAAAACGGAAATTAGCAAATTGATTAAAATGGAGGAAACTGACATATTAAGGAAACGAACACCAAGGGAACAAATAAAGAAAACTGACTCTTTTTTTTTTTAATCGTATACGATACTGAACAAGTATCAAAATAAAAAGCATACTAACGAATAACTAGGAAATTGTTGCAGCGAACGAGAAAAATAAAAAAGAAATGTAAACTAATAAAAAAGACTAATCAGAACAGAAAGGAAATTAATAAAAATAAAAAAGTAATTACCTCTTTCGGCTCAAATATCTATTGATCGCTCTTGCTTGAAGCACCTCCCAGGTAACAATGCCATAATTTGTTTAACGCTTATATGTGTAGATCACTAGCGATCACTTATAACACAATAGGACGGTCATATCCTCAAAAAGATAACAAAAACAGATAAGAAATATTAGTAGAATAAGAATATTGGAGAAAATAAATAACAAATAAATTTAAGAAAATAGAACATTTTGTGATTTTCTAGTAAATAAATAAATATGTGAGATTTTTGTGTGAAGAGAAAATTCAATAATTAAAAGTGATAAGGCGTCAAAGAATCTTTTATGTGTTTCATCTTCCAATTTTAATTTTGGTTCACAACATAAAACTACAGTATTTGGATAAATCAAACCATCACGTTTAATTGCACAAAGATTATTATTATAAGTTATCCTAAATCAACAATGTCTCAAATTGACAATATTACAGTAAAAGATCAACTTATAAAATAATTCAACTTATGATTCTTGTCCTATAAATAGAGGTTGTGTTAACTTATGGTATGACTACATGCAAGTGAATGAAAGATTAAGATTTTAGGGTGCGTTTTGAACCTGTTTCAAAGTATTGTTTTCTGTATAAAAATAGAAATGAAAACGTTTTCAATCTTAGACATGAATCATTTCTGAAAATGCATTTAGTAATTTTATTCAAAGATTATTTTCAGTATAAGAAAAAACTAAAATTGCGTTTAGTTTTACATTTTTGAAAACATGTAATAGTATTTATATATTGTTAGTTAATTTATATATAAGAATATAGTAATTAACATTAGCAATAAAATACTTCTCCTAAGCATGTCAACTACAAATCAGTATTTAGTTTTTTTAATTACATTATAAATAAATAGATCAAATCCTTTATTCACATTTCACACCACTCAAAAAAAAAAAAAAAAAAAAAAAAAACACACACACTCTAACGCTAATTGGCAGACCCACCACGCTAACCCACCAGCTTCACCTCCACGACGCCCCAGACCCAGCTTCTTCCCTCGCCTCCGACGGCGGCTGCATGAAGACGGTGCCTACTCGCGTCTCCTCCGTTTGTAGTCCTCCTCTCACCTCCGACGGCACCCACTCACGTCTCCTCCGTTTGAAGAACTCTGAATTTTTTGTAATGTTATTAGCAAATCAAAGTAAATTGAAAGCAACGGAAAGATATATAATTAAAGAATCAACTTTAAGTTAGCATATATAAACTTGAAATCGAGCAAAAGCACTAATCTAATAATCAGCTTTTGTTTGAATCACAAACCGTAGATTTAACAGGGAGAGGATCAAGAGGGATGGAGAAAAGAGAAATCTTTGCAATCTCCGAGAAAGCAACGTCTCTAAGTCCAGGAACATCACTGACTAAATTCTCGTAAGCAGCCTCAAATGCCTCCAGCCAAAACTGAGGCACCGGAGACCGGAGAAATACGAGAGAAGAGAACGGAGAAGGGGGAGACCGGCAAAATCGAGAGAAGAGAACAGAGGAGAATAGAATGGAGAAGAGGTGAAGGAAAGAAAATAGCCCAGGAGAAAATGAAAATGGAGAAAAGGGGAGAGAAGAGAACGGAGAAGAGAAGAGTGAAGGAAAGAAAAATAATCTTGAGAAAATGAAAATTGAGAAAAAGAAAACAATTTTAGTTCATTTTCAAAAATGCCTCAGATTTTGAGAAAAAGATAAAAACGTTTTCATTTTTAATTTTTGTACGTTGCTGCCCAAACACGATTCTCACACCATTTCATTTTTTTTTCTTTTGTTCCCTTTAGTTTCTTGTAGTATACTGCTATTGTTTTATAACAATACATCTATTTTTTAAAATTTAAATTTTAAAATGCGCCTCATCCAAAATTATACATATATTTAATTATATTTAATTTCTTTTACTATTATGTATATAAAATCAAAATGAGTTTTTCTAATAGATGATACATACGAAAATATGTGCTATGTGCAGAACATGTCTTAAAATTAATATTATGAAAAGTAACAACACAGATTTGGCTTCTTTTTTTTTTTCCTGTCAGGGCTTAAATAGAAGAAATTATCACTTTTTTTTTTTTAATGAGAGATATTATCAACGCAAAGAAAGTGATTGTGACATATCCAAATGTGGATGATCAATATATCCGAATGTGAGTAGGATTAGGATAAAGAGTAACTGTAGAGGTGGTCTATCTCGTGCCTATAAGTAGACAGTAGACACCCCACTCGAAGTATTTGATATTCTTTTTTTTTTTAGTATTAATTAGTTTTTGTTTATAAATTTATTTGTCACACTAATTCATGCTTCTTTCTTCCTTTTTTTTTTTTTTTTCTTCTTTTAAGATGTTGGATTGTTATATGAGTATCATGTTTTCTATGAAAAAGTAAGCTCGATTTCTTCTTTCAGTTTTATTGAAAATGACTTCTTCTTGTCCATCTTGACCTTCAAAACAATTTTGTCTAGGAAGGTCACGCTGATCAAGAAAGAGTCGTTCTCAACAAACTCAAAGAAGAGCCAACAGGCTAACTTTGTCTAAGCTTGAGGAGTGAATGACAAAATCCAAAATACATATAGGCTTTTTAATATATGGGTTCAAAGTATTAAAATTTAACCTTTTTGTAAGATAAAACACAATAAAATCAAAATTATAGATTTACACTGTAACAAAACTCACATACTAAATATATATTATGCCTCCGTTTAATTCGTTATTTTGAATTTTGTTGGTTTCAACTTTTTAATTTGAATAGAAAAATTCAAATTGTATGATTTAAATTGTAGTTTGAATTGATGTTTGGATGTGTAGTTAAAATTTTAATTTGAACAGGAAAAAAAATTTGAATTTGTGTTTAGGTGGTGTGAAAAGCAGAGAAAGTTGGTACTTTTTACTGTTTAAATATGATTTAGACGGTTAAAGTTGAGAGAAGAGCTAAACTTTAAGTTGTGCCGTTTAACTTAGTTTAAACAGAGAATATAATTCAAAATCCATGTCTACCAAACGCCAGTTTAAAATATGCTCACTGTTCAAACTGAGTTGAACTGAATTAAACTAGTGAAGGGCTATATATTTTCTTTATGTATAGTCTTACATAGGGGTGGCAATTCGTGTTGGTGGGTCATGTTCGTGTCGTGTTAGTTAACACGGTTAGGCCTAACATGAACACGACTCGCTTATCATTCATGTCGAAATACAAAATCTAAACACGATCTGTATATTGGCGGGTTGACACAACACAACACGACTAACTCATTTATTAAACAGGTCGTAAACGTGTCGTGTCAACCCGTTTATAAAATGAGTGATAAATGGGTTGTGTTAACCTATTTCTGAACCTATTTTTGAACCTATTTATAAAATGAGTGATAAAACATGTTTCTCAACCTATTATTAACCTGTTTTTCTTTTTCAATTTTTTGATTTTCTCTTAAAAAATTATAGTTGTAAAATAGGTAATAAATGGGTTGATAATGTGTTGTGCATTCGTGTTACCCAGATATGACACGTTTAATAAACGGGTTACGTCAGGTCAATCTGAAAATGACACGTTATTTAATCGTGTTTCATGAGTTCGACATGATTTTGACCCCGAACCTATTTATAATAAATTCAAGCCCACTAATTTCATATAAATTTTGAGTCATGTCATCGTGTCACTACCTAAATTATCAATCCTAGTCTTACTAAACATTATGAGCACCTGTATTCATCTCTAATGGGCTTAAAATCTCACTATTTACGTAAAATGAGTCATGTTAATTGAGTGGGTAAGTCAGACTCAATTTAATACGACTCATTCATGTTAAGCCACATTAGTCTTAGGCCTTGTGATTAATATTTCTATTCCCTTTTGTCCTGTTGTATTAGTAATTTGCTTTGTATAAGTGGTCCACAGGCTCCTTTTATGACACGTCTATAGTTGGTTATATTTCTTTCTTGCCTTTTTGTATAAAGCCTGAGCTATTTTACCATATGATATAGAACATTCTTTGTCCTTCCTTTCATCTTCTTCTTTCTCTGCAAATTATTTTATTTAACTATTCAGTGTTGAGATTTTATACTATTGAGATTGAGATAAGTATTAAGGGCTTGTTCTTTTAGAATTTAATTTAAGTATAATTTTTGAGTTAAATTTGAGTTATAACTTAAGTTGAATTTCTAATTTGAGTTTGTGTTTGGTTGTATACATTTGAGTTTTGAGTTTGTATTTGAGTGAATCAAAACTTAAATTTGTATTTAGATAGTATTTTAATAAAAACTCAATGCTGATGAAAAATTTTAATAGGGTATATGGGTCGGGTTTTATTCGTCTTTTCGTTGTCAACGCATAGAAAAAAATATCATCTCAATCAGAATTAAAACGAAAAAGTTATAGCATTTTTAAGAATAGAAAAAATATTGTTCATTAATTTGAGTTCGAGTTTCTGAACTCAAGTTGAAGGGGAAACTTGAACTCGAATTTTAGTCCTAAACTCGAGTTTAAATTCGAGTTTAAATTTAAAAGAACATAAACTCAAATAAAATTATAATTTAAGTTACATTTTTTTGAGTTTTTCACTCAAAACAACAAGCCTAATTTTTCAAACATTATTTTGCATATGTCTACGTATGTGGGACCCGAGAGGCAAGACTTGTGAGGTACATTTTAACCTTTGAACACCCAAGGGCTAAACTGTAACATTTTTAAGAAGTTGAGTAGCAGAAGTGCAATTTTGACTCAGTTTTCGAGGATTGGATTTTCGATTAGAAAAACGAAAATGGCTTCGGAGCAGTTAGAACCATGGCAGAACCTGAATGGGAAGGTGGTGATGGTCACCGGAGCCTCATCGGGACTCGGCCGTGAGTTCTGCCTCGACCTCGCCAACGCCGGCTGCCATGTCATCGCCGCCGCTCGCCGCGTCGATCGCCTCAAGTCCCTCTGCGACCAAATTAACCATGACATTTTGTCTCCTCAGTTGTCGTCTTCTTCTTCTTCTTCTGATGCTAATATTGACGATGATGGTTCGAGAATAAGAAGCGCAATTAGGGCTGTGGCGGTGGAGCTCGATGTTTGTGGCGATGGGCCCACAATAGAGAAGTCCGTACACAAGGCTTGGGACGCCTTTGGGAGGATTGATGCTTTGGTTAATAATGCTGGAATTAGAGGTATTAATTAATGTCTTCAGTTCTTGAAATTCTTTTTTTTTTTTTTTTTTTGCTGAAAGTTCTTAATTTTTCTTTGAAGTTTACTGTTCTAACTTGTTTTTGTAACTGGGTTTTTTGTTTTGGACTTTGGGTCTTTGAATTTCTTCTATGTCAAATTTCATAGTTCTCTCTGGCTTTTATTTGAATTTGCGAATAATTCAGGAATTATTTGAGATGGAAGTTGACTGAGGACCACAGACCCTTATTATTTGAGGATCTTAAGTTATTAATTTGTTATAAATAAGATTAGATTGAATTTGGGATAATGCCCATTAAGGCTTATTATTGGTTCTGCTTGGTTAATCAATTATTAATGAATGTAGGAAGGAAACACGTACTCTTTTGGTAAACCCTGGTAAATATAATAGGATTTCAAGTGTCTCAAAACGAGTATACACATTAAGCTCAGAGTTAGTCTTTCACAGATTAGTATCTGAAATGACTATGGACATGTATATGTATTTGTGGGTCTTTCAGCGGCTAGTTATTTAGAGAGCTTTGAGAAACTCTTCTCTCTCTCTCTCTCTCTCTCTCTCTCTCTCTCTTTTTTTCCTTTTTTTTTTTTTTTTTTTTTTTTTTTTTTGAGGATCTAAATATTAGACTGAGTTTAGGCTTCTGCGCGTTAAGGCTGATTGTGAGTTCTGAATATAGTAAACCCTGATTTATATGATTTTATACTTTAGTGCCCGCCCAATAGGAAGCATACAAATTAAGCTCTGAGTGTAAGCGTGTATCTGTAGTTGTATTCTGTGATACTGACAACGTAATTTGATCTCTTTTGCAATGGTTCTCTTTAAATGTACTCGTAATTGTACAAGTTTTATTTTTTTTCATAATTTTCTGATAATCGTTTTGTACATTGAGGTTTTGAATTTCTATCTGTCTTAGGAAATGTGAGATCACCACTTGATTTGTCTGAAGAGGAATGGAACAGGGTTCTAAGAACAAACTTGACAGGGACCTGGTTGGTGTCAAAATTTGTCTGCAAACGGATGCGTGATGCAGGTCGGGGAGGATCAGTCATCAACATTTCTTCTATTGCCGGTGTTAATCGTGGGCATTTGCCTGGAGGTGCTGCTTATGCGTCTTCAAAGGCAGGCCTAAACACGTTAACAAAAGTAATTTCTCAGGACTTTGCAATAGATTTAAGATTTTTAAAAAAAAAAACAATCTCTTGCTGACGCGCTTTGTCATTGTTGCAACAAATGATAATTCGGGGGATAACCAACCATTATTTCTCTGTCAGTCTGTCTATCTATTTTGAATGGTTGTTAACTTTCAACTGTATCTAGAAGAATTAATATGAAGAGATGAGGAAGATGATCAAAATGAGCAAAAGAGATGCTTAAATATACTTCATACTAGGAGAATGAGAAAAAGAGAATAAATTCTTTAGGCAGAAATGAGCTTCTGAGGCTTGTCAAGCAGGATAACGTAGCTCTTTCTTGTATCCACTAATAAACTTCTCTTTGTTTTGCTTTTATTTAAATTTTTAGCTACTAGAAACTAATATCCACAAATTGAGTTCTAATGTTATGATTGGAAATTGCTAATCCTTTTTGTAAGTACTATATTGATTTCCATATTCCTCTGTAACTGGATATTTTTTCATCATTGAGTGAAAGAAGAAGGTTAAACAATTTTTGTCCTTCCTCTTTGAAGTTATTATGGCGCCAAAATTACTTTCCATGCCTACATCTTCACCACTTCAAATTTTTATGAATTCCCATTGCTGGGAAGCTTAACTATTTCTGTAGTTAGAACCTGACTTCGCACAAAATGATATTTCCTAATCAATCTGTCTCGTTACTTCTGACATTTTCTTTCTTCTCAAATGTCACTAAAATGTACTGCAAGGTTATGGCCATCGAATTGGGGGAATACAAGATCAGAGTGAATGTAATATCACCAGGCCTTTTCAAGTCTGAGATAACAGAAAATCTCATGCAGAAAGCCTGGCTCTCCAATGTGGCTGCTAGAACTGTCCCTTTAAAGGAACATGGTACCTCAGATCCAGCATTGACATCGTTGGTGCGGTATCTGATTCATGATTCTTCGGCGTATGTTTCAGGAAATGCTTTCATCGTCGATGCCGGTGTTACCTTGTCAGGTGTCCCTATTTTTTCTTCTCTTTAGGTTCTTGTGAAATCTTATGCGTTTGCGCTATTGCAGAATTTAAATCCAGAAAGCAAGAATATTAGGACTTAAATCTTGGTACAGTTGTAAATATTGTTTGTGATTATCATGTGCCAATATTTACAAAAGTTGTTTCGAATTATAACGTCAAGAATCATATTCTACTATCTCCTCAAACTCAATCTCATTCCCTTTCTGTGGAAGAATCAGTTCCATGTTTGACAAACTCATCATCATGTCATCTTCTCTCTAGATTTAAGGACCGTTTTCAGTCAAGCAATTCCTTTTTCGGCAACGGTAAAAAAACCCGCTTCAAGTGCTAGTTGCTGGTGCTCCTGGTCTATTGTATCTCTTTACATCACATTTTTTCCAGTAATTGTTTTTCTGTTAGGAAATATTGGTTCAAGAATAGATCATTAAGATTTTGTTCTGATATATTATTATGTATATTATTCTGTTTATTTCCAGTAGCTTTTGTAATTAGATGAACTTAACGTGTTATACAAGCTTTAGAACCCAGCATTCTCTTCTTGTCCATAATGACAAGATAAATCCATACAGGAGTCCTTTACTTGAAGGTGAGATCTGAACATTTGTATGTTTATACATGTCCTGTGAAGCTGTCTTTCTAGATTACTTGTCACATAGGAAGGTTAGGTTTGATTTTTAACGGTAATTATTTGTGGGTGTTTTATATTGATTGCATAAACTTAAAACTGCAACAAGACTACTAAAATATGACCCAAGTTCAATGCCCATCCAATCAACTTTGTTCTTCACCCACACGCCCAACCAAAATTTTAAACTTGAGGATACAGCAGTCCTTGATATTTGACCCAATGCAAATGCAAAATTTCTACCTTGTTTTTTGTTCACGAATCAGATAGGTTCTATATATTTCTCTCCCAGTGTTGAAATTGCTTACATCCGGCTTCTGCGTATAGGAAAATTGTGTTTTGACTTTTGTCAAGGATGAATATAGCCGTATCAGTGGAAATATTGTTGCTCTAGTTTTATGAAGATATTAGAAAAAATATCATTACCTGTGGAAATGTTGAAAAGAATTAGGAAAATTATAGAAATTTATATCAGAACATATTTCTTATACTTTATGATAGAATAATATTAAAAAGATACATAAACAAACAAGTTTTACATTAAAAGAAAACTGTAGACATATTTGATTTCTCAGTACTAAAACGAAGTTCTACGAGACTCAAACGTGGTTGGCATTCCATTTTAATTCAAACAATATAAGTGTCATTTGCATTCCATTTTAATTCAAACAATATAAGTGTCATGATATGTTATTTAAACTATGCTTTATATAGTTATGAACATGTTAGGTATCTTTAGTGATCTGTTCTCAATGTATTTCATGAATGGAAAACTGCGAATTCTCTCAATATTTGTCTAAGATGTTGGTGGTGCGTTTTGAATGAGGATAATTAAAAATTCCATCATAGTTTCAAAAATCATGATTGTATGAATAACATACCTAAAACAATGACTCAATCATTTAGTCTAGGATATGATAAAGTAAATTAAAGGGGAAAAACAACCTTGAAGCAGTTGAAATTTGTGATATTTTCAGAAATTTCCTTAAAATTTTCCGAAATTTCTCACAAATTACATTATATATAACAATATCGATATCTATACCGATATTTCTGATGAAACAATTTTGACACATTACGAAATCTGAAATTTTAGGATTGCTGTAAAATTTGCGTCCATGCTATTGTTAAGCTATCTAATGTGAAGCCGAAAGAAGCAAACGGGTAAAAGAAAGGGTTAAGCCTTGTAACCAGTAAAAATTACTCATCCTTGACTATTGTTAAGCTATCTAACGTGAATAAAAACGTACATTTTTTTTTCCATTACTTGATTTGATTCATAGGATTCTCGCTGGATTACATACCTGATTATTATAATAGATTTCTAATTTAAAATACTCAAATTTAAGAGAAGAAAAGGGACTTATTTTCCTATGTTGTTTTCTTCAACAACTAAACATATGTTATAATATTAAGGGTGTGTTTGGTAGAATGGATTTGAGGAGGAAAGGAAAAGTGTGGAAGGAAACTTGGGATACATCCACCGTTTAGTACGATGGATTGGCCGAAGGAGAGGAAAGGGGCAGGGGCTGCAAATCCCTGGGCCCCACTAATTTGCAATCCGGCCACATTTGGGCGGAAAGGGGGAGCAGCACATTAACTAACGAGACAATTACTATCATGCCCTTTTATGTCAATGTTTTTAACCTTAACGTGTTTGTTTTTTTTTTTTTTTTTTTTTTTTTTTTTGGTAATGTTTTTTGTTTTTTTTTCCCTGCTGATAGCTTTTCTTTGTAGTTTATCTATATACATTAATGTTTATTGTTTTTCTACAGAGTTTCTTTTAGGAATCTATTTAACGTTGTTAAATGTGTTATACATCTATTTATAACACTTATGTTAAGAATCGAAATTATTAAACTTAATAACTTGAATATTAAAAATTTTAGTTGAAGAAAATTAAGTATAACACTATAAATAATTAATTAATAGACATCCTATGAAAGAAAATCAATTTATTTTTCATAGATAATATAGTAATTTTATGAATCAAATATCTCCACTCTTCCTCCTTTTTTTTTTTCAATACCAAACAAAAGAAAAGGATAACAACAATCATTTATTCCTATCATATTAAACAATTTTGAAGAAAATTACAATCCATCCCACCCTTTTCACTCTCCTTCCATCACATTCTATCCATCCTTCCACCAATCCATCCCTCTTACTAAATGGAACTTAAGAGATATAAAGTTGACAAAAAGATTTTAAAGAGATAAACTGAGAGAGAGAAAAAATCTCTAATATTAAAATACTTGTATAAAAAATATATCGAATGAAATATAAAACGTTTATGTTTATAATGAAATGATTATAGTACATCGAATGAAATATAAAACGTCTATGTTTATAATGAACTTAAAATTACTACGAATTACTATACATTTACGCGCTCTCATACGTTGCGCCGCTTGTCTGTCAGGAAAAAAAGGTGGAAACCACCATTAGCCACATTTTTTACTTTTACAATAACATCGATTTTTTATTTTTTGGCAACATATTCTAACTTCTTTTTTTCCTTGATTTCATGGTTTCTTCTTTCTCCTCCCAACGCCACCAAGCCAATATTTCTAAACCAACTTTAAACTTCTATTTATTTAAAGAAATATAAATAAACGAGTTATACCGATATATATATATATATAAATATATTTCGTTGTTATAAATTTAAAAACCATGGCAATATAGAACAATAAAAGAATTGGTTTCTTCTAGTCATTATACATATGTTTTTGGATATTATACAAATTTTTTATCTTTTTTTTTTTAATTTGCTGGCTCGCCTTCTTTTTTCCTAAATTCTGATTATTAAGAAACATAAATAAAAAAAAATAAAATTGACTAAATTTGTTCCTACAAAACAAAAATATCAATACTTGTCATAATTCTCTCTATTCCACATATATTGACATTTTTACTCATACTTTCTGATGTTTAGAAAGTACCGAATTGTTTTTTTCATAATTGTGCTGTACCCAAAAGACATTGTTTTTTTTTTTCTTGAGTTAAATTTATGAAATCTCTCTAAATTTCTTCTCTTTCTAAAATTAGTTCCTCCTTGAACTATTTAAGTCAAATTTACTCCATCAACTAAAATCCTTTTAAAATTTAGACGGAAAACTATCGGAGTCTCATAATTTCACATTAACTAATGAGTATCGTAATATACAATACGTATTTGTTTAATACATTTTCACTAAATATGTTTTATTTATTATTTTTTTAGAAAGCTACGTCGAGTTTTTTTTTTATTTTTTTTATTTTTATGTTTCACTTTCCTTGTGGTATTGGCGATGGAAATTGAAAAGGAAAAAAGGTTGATGCGATAAAAAGATAAGATATATATATAGTTACAAATTACAAATGTTCGGAAACCGGGTAATTATCAGATTTTGAAAATAGTAGGAAAAAACAAAGAAAGAACAGGTTGAGTTTTATAGATTTAAGATAAGAGTTAGGTTGAATAACATCTTACAATTGATTCCTAGCCAAAAAAAAAAAAAGAAGAAGATATAACTGATTGATTTTATGACGTTCTTTTAAAGGAATTTTATGTTGAGAAAGAAAAATAAAATATTTTTTAACATCTTAATTACATTAGTAACTATTTTAAAGATAATAGTATGCAAAGGATGCATAATTATCGTTCCCACAAGAACATAATTGTGGAACAATCTCTTTTAAATTTCTAGTTAGCTAAGATGTTAAAAATATTTTGCTTAAAATAGAGTTATTTAAGAGAATAAACGAAATATGTGTTAAAATGATTATATATAATTATTACATGATTTAAATTTTAAAAAAAATGTATCAAGGAATAGATCATAAAAATGAAAAAGAAAGAAGAACGTACTAATAACCTATCGATACTGAAGAACGTCGAATTAGTAGAACATCTAATAATCCACTTAGCAACCAATAAACAAAAAGATAAAAAATAATAATAATAAAAGGAAAGAGAGAAACCTAGCAGCGCATGCCACTATTTAAGATTTACATATAAACAAAGAAAGACATCTGCAAGCAGTATAAGTTCAAAGGAAGATATCGGGTGTGTTCATTTGTACAATTTAAATCATGATTCAAGTCATATTATTATAATGTGTTTATTTTTATATAAATTTAAATTCAATTTATTTACTACAGTATTTTTTTCTTACATTCACAACTCAAGTCATGATTTGAATTGTATAAATGAACACAGCCATAGGAAGAAAAAAAAAAGAAAATATATATATTTCTATGGACAGCTTATGCAATTTTTACCGGATATGTGGATTTTGAGTTAACTCTCTCTTAAAAAAATAGTCCAAATAATTTTATTTACATTGAAAATATTTATCATGATAGGATATATTTCTATGGACATAATTCTTCTTTCATACGTAAAGACTATTTTTTGTGATCATTTTTTGTTGGTGTTTCATTTAAGTATTAAAGTTGTAGCTTTATATGTTTTTATTCCTTATTATTTGATAGAGTGGGGGAAAAAAAGAGAAATTAGAGAATAAACTCAAGGAGGAAAATTATTTTAACTGGACCGGTATTGTTTTAATCCTTCTAACTTGAAAATAAAAAATTAAAAAAATAGAGGATAATTTGTTTTAGGTAGTAATTGGATATTCTTAAGAGAAATGAGACATACCATTTATAATGTATTGATATTAGATTTTTATGTTTAATATAGATTAATATCCTTTAATCAAAGAATTATATTAATCAAAAGAATATTATTTAAGAGTGAAAAGTAAAAATGTTAAAATTATGGATTTAAAAGTGAGTTCACCAATCTTTTTATATATCTATAGATATAGATATATAAATGTTTTAGGAGGAAAAAAATAAATAGAAAACAAAAAAGTTGTAAATATGAAATATGATTATCACTGGTACACCTTAACAGTGTGTTTGGTAGGGTGGAAAAGAGAGAGGAAAGAAAATAGAGGAAGGATTGTCTAGAGGAAAATGGAATTTTAGGTTGTTTGGTAAAGAGAAAATGAGGAAGGAAGGAAAACGAAAATTTATGGGGCCCACTAATTTTTAATCCTTCCAACTTTGGGAAGAAAAGAGGAAGGAAAAAGTTTGACAAAAAATGAGATGTAAAATAACAATTTTAACCTTCACCATTCATCATATTTTTATTTGCATTGGGGTATTATTGTAAAATACCTTAAATTTGACATTTTATTTTAACTTTTTTTTTTCTCTTCTACCAAACAATACGAGAGAAACCCATTTTACTTCCTTCACCTAGGTATTTTACTCTCTTTCCTTCCTCTTTTCTATCCATCCTACCAAACATAAAGTAAGTTTAAAAGCACTTATTTTGTCTTCTTGAATATTAAATTGTTTCCAATTAATTGATTTTATTGTAATTTATGTTATAAACGGATAGAAAAAAAAAGAGTAATACCGTTATGTAGTTTTTTATTTAAATTTATGTTAAAAAAATAAATAAAAGTTATATGATCACCCTTATTTATTTATTTGATCAGAATTCACTAAAAATTCTCATAAAGATCTAAAATGGGATAAATTTATCAGGAGTAAAATGAGACTTCTTAAAATTTAATTTAAGAGAAATGGCGGAAATAATCCTAAAGTTACACCAATGAGATTAATCTTATGAAATGGGCGGCGTGCAATAGCGTGTGTGGCCTTGAGTCCGCTTAAAGCCCATTAGTGCTGTATAATCCCTCGGCCCATTAAAAGTCCACTGTTGTTAAAGCTTTTACGCAAAACAGGTCCCACATTGCTCAGCTACGAAACAGTTTTAGTCTTTATATACAATCGCGTGGAAACAGGCACTTGTCCCTTCGGGGACATCCGATAAAATTGGAACGATACAGAGAAGATTAGCATGGCCCCTGCGCAAGGATGACACGCACAAATCGAGAAATGGTCCAAATTTTTTTTTGATTCTCCGTCCTGCGATTCCAGCAACTGTTCTTCGAATTTAGTCTCGAAAGCTTTTAATTTTTCAACTTTTTGGTCTTCTCGGAGTCAAGGGTATGTGTTTTTGACGAATCATCATCGTTATTTTCTGGGTTTCCTTCCGTTTATGTCGACTAGAAGTTTTTGATTTCGATAATTCTTCTGATTCACTGATACTTGTTTGCCCAAGTCTTTTATGATTTTTAATGATTTCATGTTCATTTTCATAATACCTTTGCAATTTTTTTTTTCGTTTTTCTTTTAGTTTTTGCTCCTCTGGCTAGCTTTTTGGGCTCTGTGATTTTATACTTAAAAAAAAAAAATTTGTAACTACTTTAGCCATAAATTTTCTTGTGCCCTTTAAATTGTTCATAACTCCTAATTATGGACTTCTTGATTTTGTGACTCTGTGTATCTTTTTCTTAACAGGTGGCAGGAAAATTAAATAGTGCATAGCAGGTGTTTGATGATATTCCCCAAAAAAGAAAACGATTATGGGTTGGACTTTGTTGGGTCTTTGATTTTGGGATAATTCCCATTGAGGCTTATTATTAGTTCTGCTTGGTTAATCAATTATTAATGAATGTAGGAAGGAAACACGTACTCTTTTGGTAAACCCTGGTAAATATAATAGGATTTCAAGTGTCTTAAAACGAGTATTCACATTAAGCTCAGAGTTAGTCTTTCACAGATTAGTATCTTAAATGTCTATGGACATGTATATGTATTTGTGGGTCTTTCAGCGGCTAGGGATTTAGAGAGCTTTGAGAAACTCTTCTCTCTCTCTCTTTTTCCTTTTTTTTTTCTTTTTCTTTGAGGTTCTAGTGAACCCTGATTTATATGATTTTAGACTTTAGTGCCCACCCAATTGGAAGTATACAAATTAAGCTCTGAGTGTAAGCATGTATCTGTAGTTGTATTCTGTGATACTGACAACGTAATTTGATCTCTTTTGCCATGGTTCTCTTTAAATTTACTCGTAATTGGTATAAGTTTTATTTTTTTCATAATTTTCTGATAATCGTTTTGTACATTGAGGTTTTGAAGTTCTGTCTGTCTTAGGAAATGTGAGATCACCACTTGATTTGTCTGAAGAGGAATGGAACAGGGTTCTAAGAACAAACTTGACAGGGACCTGGTTGGTGTCAAAATTTGTCTGCAAACGGATGCGTGATGCAGGTCGGGGAGGATCAGTCATCAACATTTCTTCTATTGCCGGTGTTAATCGTGGGCATTTGCCTGGAGGTGCTGCTTATGCGTCTTCAAAGGCAGGCCTAAAAACGTTAACAAAAGTAATTTCTCAGGACTTTGCAATAGATTTAAGATTTAAAAAAACAAATCTCTTGCTGACGCGCTTTTTCATTGTTGCAACAAATGATAATTCGGGGGATAACCAACCATTATTTCTCTGTCAGTCTGTCTATCTATTTTGAATGGTTGTTAACTTTCAACTGTATCTAGAAGAATTAATATGAAGAGATGAGGAAGATGATCAAAATGAGCAAAAGAGATGCTTAAATATACTTCATACTAGGAGAATGAGAAAAAGAGAATAAATTCTTTAGGCAGAATGAGCTTCTGATTGCTCTTTTTTATATTGAACTCACTAGAGGCTTGTCAAGCAGGATAACGTAGCTCTTTCTTGTATCCACTAATAAACTTCTCTTTGTTTTACTTTTATTTAAATTTTTAGCTACTAGAAACTAATATCCACAAATTGAGTTCTAATGTTATCATTGGAAATTGCTAATCCTTTTTGTAAGTACTATATTGATTTCCATATTCCTCTGTAACTGGATATTTTTTCATCATTGAGTGAAAGAAGAAGGTTAAACAATTTTTGTCCTTCCTCTTTGAAGTTATTATGGCGCCAAAATTACCTTCCATGCCTACATCTTCACCACTTCAAATTTTTATGAATTCCCATTGCTGGGAAGCTTAACTATTTCTGTAGTTTGAACCTGACTTCGCACAAAATGATATTTCCTAATCAATCTGTCTCGTTACTTCTGACATTTTCTTTCTTCTCAAATGTCACTAAAATGTACTGCATCAATTAGCCTACCTTCATTAGCGATAAAGGAAAAGTCTGTGACCTTATGTGGAATGGAATAACACTGATATAACATTGATAACAGGTTATGGCCATCGAATTGGGGGAATACAAGATCAGAGTGAATGTAATATCACCAGGCCTTTTCAAGTCTGAGATAACAGAAAATCTCATGCAGAAAGCCTGGCTCTCCAATGTGGCTGCTAGAACTGTCCCTTTAAAGGAACATGGTACCTCAGATCCAGCATTGACATCGTTGGTGCGGTATCTGATTCATGATTCTTCGGCGTATGTTTCAGGAAATGCTTTCATCGTCGATGCCGGTGTTACCTTGTCAGGTGTCCCTATTTTTTCTTCTCGTTAGGTTCTTGTGAAATCTTATGCGTTTGCGCTATTGCAGAATTTGAATCCAGAAAGCAAGAATATTAGGACTTAAATCTTGGTACAGTTGTAAATATTGTTTGTGATTATCATGTGCCAATATTTACAAAAGTTGTTTCGAATTATAACGTCAAGAATCATATTCTACTATCTCCTCAAACTCAATCTCATTCCCTTTCTGTGGAAGAATCAGTTCCATGTTTGACAAACTCATCATCATGTCATCTTCTCTCTAGATTTAAGGACCGTTTTCAGTCAAGCAATACCTTTTTCGGCAATGGTAAAAAAACCCGCTTCAAGTGCTAGTTGCTGGTGCTCCTGGTCTATTGTATCTCTTTACATCACATTTTTTCCAATAATTGTTTTTCTGTTAGGAAATATTGGTTCAAGAATAGATCATTAAGATTTTGTTCTGATATATTATTATGTATATTATTCTGATTATTTCCAGTAGCTTTTGTAATTAGATGAACTTAACGTGTTATACAAGCTTTAGAACCCAGCATTCTCTTCTTGTCCATAATGACAAGATAAATCCATACAGGAGTCCTTTACTTGAAGGTGAGATCTGAACATTTATATGTTTATACATGTCCTGTGAAGCTGTCTTTCTAGATTACTTGTCACATAGGAAGGCTTTTAACGGTAATTATTTGTGGGTGTTTTATATTGATTGCATAAACTTAAAACTGCAACAAGACTACTAAAATATTACCCAAGTTCAATGCCCATCCAATCAACTTTGTTCTTCATCCACACGCCCAACCAAAATTTTAAACTTGAGGATACAGCAGTCCTTGATATTTGACCCAATGCAAATGCAAAATTTCTACCTTGTTTTTTGTTCACGAATCAGATAGTTTCTATATATTTCTCTCCCACAGAGTTGAAATTGCTTACATCTGGCTTCTGTTTATAGGAAAATTGTGTTTTGACTATTGTCAAGGACGAATATAGCGGTATCAGTGGAAATATTGTTGCTCTAGTTTTATGAAAATTTCAGAAAAAATAGCAATACCTGTGGAAATATCGAAAAGAATTATGAAAATTGTTCAAATTTATATCAAAACATATTTTTAATGCTTTATGATAGAATAACATTAAAAAGATACATAAACAAATAAATTTTGCATAAAAAAACTGTAAACATATTTGATTTCTCAGTACTTATTTAAATTGTTATAACCATTTATATAAACTAAAAGAAGTTTTCTCAAAGAATAATTTGCTTAAATCAATATTAGTCGATTAAAATAACTTACTATATACATTAGTTTTATAAGTTTAAGCACACAGAACAGAATTTTTCTTTTTACCTGTATTCAAGAATGTAAATATCTGTTAGTTTGTAAGTTTTCTTATTAATGATACTTATAGATATATACGTTGATAATCAGCTAATACACAACATAAACTACTTGTCTTTTAAGTTAGTCATGACTCTTACTATATAGTCTTGCTCTTTAATCTTTATTTTTATTTTTTCAATTACCATGCTTTACAGATACATTTATATATTAATTGCATACAAAAATTTTGAAATCACATAAAAGAATGAATTCGGTTCATACTAATATAAAATTATTATCTAATTTAATAACATTACGTACTAATAATAGCTACCTAAAAATGAAGAAATATTCGTAATAAGAATTTTATTAAAGAAAGTCGAATTAGTGGAACATCAGAATAATACACTTAGCAACCAATAAACAAAAAGAGATAAAAGGGAGGGGGAGAGAGAGAGAGAGAGCTGGCAGCTTATGCAACAATCTAAGGTTTACACATGAACAAAGCAAGACACGTGCAAGCAGGTACAAGTTTAAAGGAAGGTAAAGGAAGAAGAAAAAATAAAGGCGGTTCAAAAAAAAAAAAAAAGGGACCTGCCAGCTTATGCAATCTTTTTATATATCTATAGATAAAGATATAGATATAGGACCTGTTTAGTTTATTAATTTAAATTGAGATGTGATTTTATATGAAAATTTTTTATTATAGTAAAAAAGTTAGATGTGACTATTTTTGAGAGCTTTTGGCCTCGTTCACTTCGCGGATTTAAATTTTTAATTTGAGTTGAGATGTGACATTTTCTGAGAGCTTTTCACTGTAGCAAAAAAAATTGATGTGACATTTTTTGAGAGCTTTTTATTGTAGAAACTTAAAACTGAAAACTCGAATCGGTGAAATGAACGGGGCCTTTAACTGTAACAAAACTTGAATTCTAAACTCGAATCAGCAAAATAAACAAGGCTATAGATATGTTTTAGGAGGAAAAAAATAGAAAACAAAAAATTTGTAAATATGAGATACGATTGTTATTATTGGTGCACTTTGGACTTTAAAAGCTTTTATTTTATCTTCTTAAATTTTGAATTATTTTCAATTAATTCATTATATTATAATTTTTGTTAAAAACGAATAGAAAAAAGAAAATAATACAATTACATAGTCTTTTTATTTTAATTTATATTAAAAATAAATATATAAAAATTATATAATCACACTTAATTTATTTTTTTGGTCAGAATTCACTAAAAATTCTTACAAAAAACTTAAATGGGACAAATTTATTAAGACTAAAGCGAGAGTTTTTCAAATTTAAAATTTAAGAAAAAAAGGCGGAAACAATCCTAAAATTGCACCAATTGATTAATCCTATGAAATATAAAGTATGGGCGTGGAATAGCGTATGTGGCCTTGAGTCTGCTTAAAAGGCCATTACTGCTGTATATTCTCTCAGCCCATTAAAAAGTCCACTGTTGTTAAAGCTTGTACGCAAAAAACGTCCCACATCGCTCAGTTACGAAATAGTTTTAGTCTTTATATACAGTCGCGTGGAAACAGCTTATCGTCCCTTCGGGGACATCCGATAAAATTGGAACGATACAGAGAAGATTAGCATGGCCCCTGCGCAAGGATGACACGCACAAATCGAGAAATGGTCCAAATTTTTTTTTGATTCTCCGTCCTGCGATTTCAGCAACTGTTCTTCGAATTTAGTCTCGAAAGATTTTAATTTTTCAACTTTTTGGTCTTCGCGGAGTCAAGGGTATGTGATTTTGACGAATCATCATCGTTATTTTCTGGGTTTCCTTCCGTTTATGTCGACTGGAAGTTTTTGATTTCGATAATTCTTCTGCTTCACTGATACTTGTTTACCCTAGTCTTGTATGATTTTTGATGATTTCATGTTCATTTTCATAATACCTTTGCAATTTTTTTTTTTTTCGTTTTTCTTTTAGTTTTTGCTCCTCTGGCTAGCTGTAGTGATTTGGGCTCTGTGATTTTATACTTAAAAAAAAAAAAAAAAAAACTAATTTAGTTATAAATTTACTCGTGCCTTTTAATTGTTCCTAACTCCTAACTGTGGACATTGATTTTGTGACTCTTTGTATCTTTTTCTTCACCGGCGGCAGGAAAATTAAATAGTGCATACCAGGTGTTTGATGATAATCCCCAAAAAGAAAAGGATTTATGGGTTGGACTTTGTTGGGTCTTTGATTTTGAATTTTTTTTGCATATTCATCCCTTTTTGCAGTGATTCAACTGGTCTGTAATTAAGAAGTTAGTTATTTGCTCAAGGAAGTATTCGCCTGTTTTATCCGGTTGTGTCGAACCAATGCTATCAGCAAAATCCTTGGGCAAACTTTTCAGGTAAACTTTTTGAGGACGTAAAGTTCTTTGGGTTGGAATTTCAAGAAAGATCAAACTTTTATTGCATGCTTTTCAGATCTTTAAGTTTGGTGCAAATGCTAAAGATAAAAGGACATTTTTTTGGTGTTTGATACTATTTCTGAATTACTCGTACAAGTTTTAGTTGTTTAGAGTCAATTGTTAGAAAACATCTTGTCTGTCATTTTTTATTTATTTATTTTTATGTAAAGGAGTATATTACTCTGATTTTTCTGGGCGCTCAAAATCTTCTGTCAATTATTTTACGACGTAAAGGAAGACATTATTCCGATTTATTCCGAGATATAATTGTCTGAACACTTGGAAGTGGAGGAGGTCACCGACCCTCCAAACCCATCAAGCTCGAGGCTTAAATAAAGTTAATTTTTTCCATAAAAAAAAAGTAATTTTGAGAGATGTTAGAACATTAGAATGAAAAAAAAAAAGGAAAAAGAAAAAAGCCATACCAGTTGGGGAAATTGTCTAATGTAAGAACAACCCTGTTAGTCACTGGCTATCCAATGTGTTTGCAGCATTGTTTGTTTTTGTCTTCACACAAATAATCCATAAAGTTCTTTTTTTTTTTTCATTTCATTACTTTACAGTAAAGAGTATGCAAGAGAGGTATTTTTATGGAGTAGACAATCCATAAGTATGTCTCAGGTAGATATCACAAGAAATGGAGGACTTGGAAGCCTAGGAAGGAATTATAGGATACTTGGTAATGGCGATGGTGCTGGAAATTGCTTTCGTCGTCATTATAGCTCCCAGTTCGATGGCAAACAATCAGGAAAATCCACAAATAAGGTTCTGCGTTTATTACTAGAAATTTCTCCATCAGTGTTAGAAACCCATTACGTGAATTCTTTATGCTGCTTCACTGTCTTTTTTTTTTTTTTTTAAATCTTTTTGTGAATTCTTTATGAGGCTTGTTGTTGTTGTTGTGAATCATGTGGACTCTGTGATTCATCAATGACTTTAATGCTGCAGATTGTGGGAAATATACCAGAATATGTGAAGATAGTTGAAGTTGGTCCACGGGATGGACTACAAAATGAGAAGCATATTATCCCAACAGCTATAAAGGTTGAATTGATTAAAAAGCTAGTTTCTTCAGGGTTGCGTGTTATAGAGGCTTCAAGTTTTGTTTCACCAAAATGGGTTCCACAGGTAAACAGCCATAGAAACTCTTTTCTGCAAAGGCTCTTCTTTGGGAATACCTTCAAAGGGATCCTTTTAGTTGTTTGTTGAGACTAACTATATCATTCTTATTGTGAGCCTAGAGATATGAAATAGATTTTGTCTTTCTGCTTTTGAAAAATCGTTACTCTTTTGCTATCTTTTTCTATCATTGTGCTTCATCTCTTATATTTCATCTTCTCACAGAATTTTCTGCGTTATAGATTTCTTTGCTTAATGGTTTTAGTTCTTTTAGTTCTTATAATTGAAATTTCTAAACCTTTGCATTATCAGTGTTGCTTGAACTTATAGGTTGCTGGTATCTTGTTCATCTCTGATTTTCAGCTAGCAGATGCGAAGGATGTAATGGAAGCAATTCGAGATGTTGAAGGTGCTAGGTTTCCCGTGTTAACTCCTAATCTTAAAGTAGGCATTCGCCAGTGAAAACATTGTAGCTGATATAATATCAATACTGAATTACTGACGTGGTCTAACGCTTTCTATAGGGTTTTGAGGCAGCTGTTGCTGCGGGTGCTAAGGAAGTAGCCATCTTTGCCTCAGCTTCTGAGTCCTTTTCGAAATCAAATATCAATTGTAGCATTGAGGATAGTCTCATTCGCTATCGTGATGTTGCCCTTGCAGCTAAAAAACTTACAATTCCTGTTCGTGGGTATATATTCTAAACCCGTCTCATTTTATAAAATATCAGTTTGAGAACTTGTGGTGTTCTCATATATGTTTTATGTGAAGATTAAAACCCAAGAAATATGAGCACAACCAATCATAAACGCCATAATTATCCTTTCTTCAGCTGTTTTTTTTCTCCTTTTAAAAAACTTGGTTTATCTCTAGTTTCTGCTCGTCCTCTTCATTTAGTGAAAAATGAAAGGTTATATTCTTGTTTGTGGAAAAAAAGGATATACAGAGCAAAACTTGATCCATTTATCAATACGATGAAATAGTTTTGTTTAAATCTTGTTAGATATATTTCGTGTGTTGTGGGGTGTCCAGTGGAAGGAAAGGTACCTCCATCACAAGTTGCGCATGTGGCCAAAGAGCTTTATGCTATGGGTTGCTCAGAGATTTCCCTAGGCGATACGATTGGCGTTGGTACTCCTGGTAATCTTACAGACTCGCTTCTTTTCCACCTTTTTCTTTCTTTTGCTTTTTGGGCTATCTTCTGATAGTTATTTTGCTTGTCCTTCCGTTGATGTTCTTAAACTTTTGATTCTAGTCTTGCAGAATAAGGGTTGGCTCCTATTTTTTAGTCAAATCCATTTCAAGAAGTTAAGTTAGGTTTTTGGTGATAGATATTTATTTTAGTTAGGTGATGACATCACTCGATAGCTACAAATTGGTAGATGGTAAGATAAAACTCGATCTCTCCGGAAGAAAAGAAAACGTGAGTAGAACTAGGATCTTTTATTGAAATGAATGAGAATTTTCTGTACAGTAGCAGTACTTTGAGGGATTGCTAGACCTCCCCTTGCTTGGCTATTCTACCAAGACTTTACCAAAAGACACCCCAGAATCTTCCTCTCTCTACTTCTTCCACTCTATTTATATGCCCCATCCCCTTCATAACCGACTACTAACCAATTGTAACTGACTGTTACTCACAGACTAATGCTCTAACTACCCCTAAACGACTAACAAACAATTACACTTAGGGCCCGTTTAGTTCGCTGATTCGAGTTGAGATGTGACTTTATGTGAGAGCCTTTTACTGTAGCAAAAAAGTTAGATGTGATTATTTCTGAGAGCTTTTTACTGTAGCAAAACTCGAATTCTAAACTCGAATCGGTGGCCTTACACTTTCTTATCATTCCTAACAAACACCTGCCTTATTAAAGGCTTATCCTTATCAGTAGATTGGCGTGAATGTATTCGAGAATTTCTAATTTCTGCCCTATTTTCACTGAAGCGATAAAATGCTCATTCATTACTTGCTCGTTTGTAATTTTTCCCCACTTTCTGGTTCCTGCCTGGGAATGAATTAGACTCCAGCTTTAGGATTATCTGGCTTCACATGTAGACGAAGAAAGATGTAATTATCTCTACTTATTGCTTGGTCACTTGTTATATATTTGAGCTATTGCCGTGGTTTTAGAATACACATTGGTTTAATAACTCTCCCATTTTAATGTTTAGCTTGTGTTGCCGCCTTCCTTTTCCTAGGTACTGTTATTCCAATGCTTGAAGCAGTTACTGATGCTGTCCCTATTAAGAAGCTTGCCGTCCATTTTCATGATACATATGGGCAAGCTCTTTCAAATATGCTAGTATCCCTCCAGGTAAACAGACTTCTTTGACTCGTTTTAGTAGAGACACAAATCAGTTATTGTGAATGCCACCATTATTTGTCGAAGGAACGTCTCTCTTCAGCACAAGCGACGTACATAGATTGTGAAATGTGAAACTCCATTTCTGGTCTTATTTGTCTTACATTTATCCATAGAAATTTATTGTGTAGATTGTAGAACTAAATGAACATTACTATGACATGAATAGCAATGAGACTTTAGGAGGAACTAGATCATGTTTGTTTGTTCATCTTATCTAAAAAATTGGTGTGGGATATCTGCTATGACTCTAGAAAAGCTTCACATTGAAGCCTTACGCCTGAACCTGCAAACTAAGTTTTATATTTTTCTCACTTGAAACTGTTTTTCTGCATGCAGTTGAAATTATTTGTTTTTATTGCCATATTCTTCAACGTAGAATCTAAAACAATTTCATAGAATCTAAATTGGTGGCCAAATTGCAAAGTTTGTCTCTAAAGTTGTTTGCATAATCACCCTCACCAAGCCATATTTATGTAATTCCTGTTAATGGTTCTCCTAAATGAAAAATGGTATTCTCTCTGCACTTTTCCCCCCTCGAATCCTAGCTTCAAGAAGTTTTTGTGAATCCCGTGGTAACATAAACAAAAGTTTTAAACCATTAGCTATAGCCTAAGGTATAGTGATTTTCATTTTTCACATATTTCCCACAGGTCGGGATCACTACAGTGGACTCATCAGTCTCTGGGCTTGGGGGCTGCCCATATGCTAAGGGTGCCTCTGGAAATGTCGCGAGTGAGGACGTTGTATACATGCTTAACGGACTTGGTGTGAAGACCAACGTGGATCTTGGAAAGCTTATCTTGGCCGGCGAATTCATTTCCAATCACTTGGGCCGGTCATCTGGTTCGAAGGTAGCAATTGCCTTGAGAAAAAATACTTGTGCCTCCAAGCTGTGAGGTAATGAGACTTGTTTTTCCTAGCTCTTACCATTCTGTAAATGTATGTACGATTGCATATTCACATGTATACTCTTAACTGAGCCAATAAATGCAAGGAAGAAGTTAAAAGAAAATGCGTATTCCAGCTTCTGAGCCTTCTCGAATAAAAATGCCATGTAGAGTCCTGAGTTGAACAACAGAAAGGAAAATGACAAAAACATAGCAGGCTTTTAGATCAGTTTACTCTCTAACTTATGCCATTAAAATTTTCATCAGTAAGAGGTTCTCACAAGTCAACTCTAATCAGGCCCTCTAATGATATCTTTTTATACTAGTACTGGTACTCATACTTTTCTTTCCGAAACAAGAAACAAAGTATGAGAACTAATTCTCATGTTTTTATATCTGAACAAGAAATGAAAGTCAACCCCATATTTGAACAATCGAAGGTACCGCGGGGACCAGTTTTGAAGTGGCAAAATGAGGTTCGAGTAAAGCAGCACCAGAGTTTCTGTCAGTTGAGCGATGTGAAAAGATGTTCTTTGTTTTATTTATTTATTGGCCTTATTTATTTATATTTTATTTTTTTGCTATTGATAAGGGAAAGGAATATGGTTGCAGTCCTTGTGGAAATAAGTACTTTTTTTAATAATAAAAAAAAAAGACGCAATGAAAAAACTCATTTTGGGTTAGATTGCATTTGGGATTATTTGCACCTTCATTTGCAACATAAACCTTCCTAATGCAGTGGCCAATATGAATTTATTTAGCTTCCTAATGAGAGAGGACTTATCTGGAGGATTATTTAGTTAGTTATAAAAATGCATGATACAAGCAAAATTATTTATTCATTTATTTTATGATCTTTGTCGTAGAATTCTCCCCATTGTTGATTTCTCGGCGGATGCTTTTAGCGAAAGCTTCTTATAGTGTGGCAATTTGGTGGTTTTTTGCCCGTCCATTTTTTTCAATTACCAAAACGTCCATTTTATTTGATTGAACTCAGTATCATATTTTGGGAAAATCCAAATGATGCTAAGAGAACTTATCAATTACTATTTTTTATTTTCATCCTCCAGCAAACATTGAAGCATATACGCGCTAATTATTGTTTTTGCAACATTTTTGATGTATCATATTTAATATATTTTTTTAAATAAAAATGTTTTAAGTATATCACACAAAATAGTGGTAATATTTTTTTTTTAAAAGAATTTGAAATAAAATTAGTTTTTCTCAACTTTTAAAGTTTAAAATGAACAATTCTTAGAAGTAACCAAAACTATAATAATATGGTTTTCGCAATGGCAAGACTCTAAAAAATTTATCAGTAAAACATTATATTTTGACCGTTAGATTATTTTTCAACGGTCAGATATGCATGCAGAGGGGAACAATTTTGTGAGAGATGTTATAAATTTTTAATACGAATCTGCGCATATCTGATAATTGAAAACTTAATTGAACAGTCTAAAAATGGAGTTCTACTTGTGGTTTATTTTTAATGGTCTCACTGTTGAGGCTCCTAACTAATAATATACCTGATCACATGAGTAGCACGTGCTTGAAACTTCTTAACAAAGAACATCATTATTTTGGGCCTTGGGTGTTCGAATATTGGGCCCATTCATTTGTAATTAGGAAGAAAGGAAAAATAAGTTTGAAATGAATTAAAATTAATAGGTTAATAATTTACATAAATTAATAAATATGTTAAATTATTGTTTTTGTTCATAATTTATCTAGTTATAAACCATAACTTGATAAGTTATTCACAATTTTTATTCATAACTTGTCTAGCTATGAACCATAACTTGATAAGTTTGTCCATAATTTATCTGGTTATAAATCATAACTTGATAAATTATGAGACCTATTAATTTCTATAACTAAAAATTAACCTACATACTTTCTTAAGTTTTTCATATTAATTTATTTTCTGTCCGTTGTAATTAAAAGGGAAAGAAGATAAATATTGTATGTCTACATTTTTATCTTTTATTTTTTATTAATATTTTTTTAATAAAATAATTATATTAATTAAAAAAATTATTAAACAAGAATAAAAAATAATAGACTCTTACACACTCTAAAAGTAACGTCAATTTTCTTATGATTATATCAACGTCCAAGGACTCCTGAGCCGCCCGTACAGGTGCCAGTACCACAGAAATTAGGGTATCCTATTTTACGAACATCAAAATGTAACTATAGTCCCTGTGGTCTAGTTTCTTAAAGTTTCCTTTTTTTTTTTTTTTTTTTTTGCTGAATAGTTCCTTAAAGTTTCTTAATGCACGTACACACGTACATTTCAGCTGGGATTCATCAATAGGAAAAAAAAAGAAAAAAAGAAATACATTTTAGCAGGGAAAGAACAAATTAAAAGGAGCAAAAGATGAACCTACTGCTGGTGGTAGTATTACCACCGCAGAGAGATGATAAATATTTTTAATTTTTTAGTAACGAACAAATAATCTTTTTTGTTCACTTTTACATTGAAAAACTCGCTCATGAAAGCAAACATAAGTAATACAAGTATGATGAGAGTTTTTATTACGGGACTAGAAAAAATAAATTATTAGTAATTATTTATTTTTTAATTATTAAATTTATATTAAAAATTATTTATTTTACATATTTTTTTAATTTAATTTAATTTTAATCAGATATAAGATTTAAAAAATTGAGCGTACCAGTAGAACGGCCTACCGGAGATACTCTCAAGTATGACCAATTCTTTTATAATGTACTTTGTAAACCGTTGAAAATTGATTGCTATTTATTAGTAGGACCTGAAAATAAAAACTTTCTACGATTCAAATCAACTTAACTGGGTTGCACATTACATCCCCAATTATCAGGTTGCACTTTAATTTTGTAAGACAAACTATCTAATTAGCAAGAAGATATAAATATCCCCCTTATGAACACCAATATATGCCATGTAACACTCGACAAATCGGAATTATTTGGTCATGTTCTAAAAGCCAGAAGTCAACTAGGACATTTTTTTCCTTTACCTTTAAGGAAAAAAAAATTGGACATTTTTTTACCTTTAGAAAAGACCTAACATTTTTAGGAAAAGAAAGAGCAATGAGTTTATTTTCCAGCTTGGTTGGGGAAACGTACCACGTTAGTAATTTTAAGGAATCATATCTTCACACTTTCTTTCTTTCTTTCTTTCTTTCTCTAGTTTCCTTTTTTTTTTTGTTGCCAGGGGATTCAATTGTTAAATCAAAGTTTTTTCTTTAATTTTTCTAGCATTATTAACCATAAAAGAGTGTGACAGAGAAAAAGATATCATGGGTTTTTGTAATTGTAATGCAAAGAAGGAAAACGTGGCAAGGGCTTTCCCTTGTACTGGTCAAAATATTAATGGGATGTTTAGTTAGAGGATTCAAACTATAATTTAAATTATGGTTCATGATTCATTACAGTGTTTATTCTCAAAAAAGTACACATAAATCAAAAATAGTTATAATCACATGATTCTAATTCATAAACCAAACGTCTCCAACCAAATATATGGAACCACGGACCATGGCCACAAGTCCTTACTTTGTCTTTAGACTATGAAACATCTTATTACATAACTTATGGACAAACTCACTTTGCTGTACAAAGTTTGTGCGCACCCCTCGAAAACGCCTCCCAAACACAAATAATATACACATTTCAAGGACAAGCTGTTGGTTCTTAGAAAATACGGCCTTTGGGTATTATTGTGTATTTTACAAAAATTGGCATACTATAACGTATTTTGGAAATTAAAGAATTTTTTGCAAATTCCAAATGTTATATACTGCTAGTGATGGTCATGAAAACCATGCTTTTTTTTTTTTAACTAATTACAAATTTACATGTTAACCTTTAGATTCACTGATTATGACATAGAATTCCACACAATCTCAAGTGTCAATCTCTAAGTTGTTAAAAAACTGGTGATTGTCACCACTACTAACAACTAGTATTTTTCTTCTATTTTTTTAGCTAACACTATAGTTGTTTGCTTATGACATGTCATCTATCAGTCTTGTATTGTATAAGCCCCTTATTTATAAGCCATTTGGTTATTGTTTATGATTTGTTGAGCATATAAGAAATGTTTTTCTTTTAGTATTTCTTCAAATTAAATGCTGCATTAATTGTATTATAGTTGTTGGTTTTTGAGTTTTCAAGTGTCTGAATTATACATAAAATAATATATTTTTTTTTGCTGAATATATATAATATATAATATATAGGAGTGTGAGGTTTTTAATGAGGCTTTTCGTGGGGTCCTTTTGCATGTGCTTCGGAACAGTTTTATTTGGACAATGTTATAATAAATGTTGTACTGTAACTGCTCTAAAATGCTCTCTCTCTCTCTCTCTCTCTCTCTCTCTCTCTCTCTCTCTCTCTCTCTATATATATATATACACGTGTAGTTTCTGGATCTTCTAATGAAATGGATGAAGGCTAGTGTCCGTGAGGACTTGTTTGTAGTTTTCTACTCCATTTTGTGGGGTTCCTTTTGTTAATGGATCGTGAGTCGTGAGCCTTAAACTGAAATGTCCAGGTTGAGTTCAAAAGACCTGATCCGTATCGTAATTCACAATTGTTATTATATTTATCCACCAAACAAAAGTCAATCAAGCCAAAAAAAAAAAAAGAAAAAAAAACTATACGAAAAATAAATTTTTTATTGGATGTATATAGACATATAAGAGCATCTTTAATACAATGCCATAATAATAGATGTATTAATTGTAAATTTAATATTTGAGTGCAAAAAAAAAAAAATACTCTCTAATACAATACTATTTGTTGTGCTAAATTTTTTATGTCATACTTTATGATAAATTTCTCACCAAATATATATAACATATGAAAATTTTGACTTTTAATTGTATTAGTTGAAATGTTTATTTTATCACATTTTCTAATTATTTTTAAAATAAAAGATTACTTTTATAACTTTCAAAGCTTAATGATTATGAAAAAAGTACATTTAACATTTTAAATAGCATTATGCATTGAAATAAAAATGAAAATAAGGTATTGTATTATACTTTTTGATGCTAAATATAAAATTAGCATTAGCATTTATATTATAGATGATCTAACAATAAGAATTAAGATTAATTATAAAAATTCTCCCTCAACTATAACTTGTGTAACACTTTACCCGATCTTCAAAATGTAACATCCCTTCCCCCGAACTATAAATTAACTGTTAACAATAATGCTCCTTCAGTTAGTTTTTATGATTGTTTCTAACTAAGTTGAAGAATAATTACTCTTCCACCCAGGATCCTTAAATTTATATTTTTAAAAATCTATATTTTCATTTTCATTTAATATGATAATAAAGCTATTTTTTTTAGAAACACTAACCAAATGAGTATTTTTGTTTATGATTCATAGTTTGAGTGGAACAGATGTTAGATTTTAAAGATTATGGGGTGAAGTATTACATGAGTCATAATTCAGAGAGAATTTTAATAATTAATCCTAAGAATTAATATTAAGAACACATTGAAATATAAAATGACTGAGGAGATTTTCACTCTTTATTTCACTTTTTAAAATAAAAGATATAAGTGCATCTAAAGAGACCTCAAAATAGACCGAAACCAAAAGATATTTATTAAAGTCAGTTAAAAAGTGAAATAAGGATGTAGATTTACGCACTCTAAGGATAAGTTCAACAATTTTTTCTCTTTTTTTCACTAATTTTAGCCTGGAGCACTGAAATTTGGCAAATGACTTAAAAAGTTTCTTAAAGATATCCATGTTCCAATCGCATAGTAATTGAAATTTATAAAAATCGTCGCTTTAAATGCAAAA